GTAGCTGCTCTGAAGAAGCCATATTCAGCATGAAATGCTAGAATTTTATCACAACAAACATGTAGGGTGGCTGGGGGACCCTATACCACTCCTTTGGTATGCAGATGCCAGACCACATAACCTTTATAGTGAATATGCCACTTTGCTCATTTAGGCAAAAGTGACATGTTCACTTAGTAGGCCACCTCCCCACTCACTGACAGAGCATAGAATAATGAATAGCGGCTTGCTATGGGGACAATCGGTGGGCGGAAGGAGCTAGGAGAGCCGGCAGAGGACCCAAGAAAAGGAAGATCAGATATACGCACCATATTGAGACATGTCCAAAGCTACAATTAATTATCCCTACTATTGCACAAATGTCATATAACCATTTTATGAATCTGTCAGATTGCCCATTAAGGGAAAAGTTACAGGTTCCTTTTGCAAATTGAAGTGCCACACCACTCCTAAGAGATCCAGATACAACTTTATTCCAATAAAAGTCAGGGGACAAACCAAAAATTAGCCAACATGTTTCTATGATGAAAGGGGCATACTTGAACCCCTGAAATGCATTGGCTGCTTTTTGGCTTGTCCCCCTGATGTTTGTTGGAATAAAGTTGTATCTGGACCTCCTAGCAGTGCTGTGGTGATTCAGTTTCAGTTTTTGTTACTTAACACTACAAAACAAAGAGACTGTTGAGATCCTCATTTGCATCAACATTAATACTTTAATATAGCAATACCAGTGAGATAATCCTATGAGTCCAGAGCTAATTTTCCATTTTTCTTAAAGATTCCCTTCATAGGCCACCTACCCACAAACTGATACTTCATCTAGGAATGAAAGGATATCACAGAGGTACAAATGCAAAAAGTATAAGAATTGGGTGGGCTTCTGGGGAAAGGAAGGAGGGTCACTCTCTCAATTAACATTTTTGAATCCTTATGCTGCTATCATTAGTAAATAGATAGGAACATATATCATATTTACTTGTTTTAAACTTTTTTTGTTACATTTCTTCAGCTTTTTCAGCCAATCCCTGCGCTAAGGGCAGCTGGATTCCAGGAAGTAAATGATACCTGAATCATCTGCCCTTACTCAAGATGGCCACTGCCAGAAATACCAAGGAGTGTTTTTCAAAATGATTTCTCAGCAAAATATAGCATGTAGACATGAATGGATGGAAGAGTTTGCTTTGAATATTAAAAATGAATTAAATTGCATTTTTGGTTTGTGGGGCTCAGATGTAGTGCAGTTCCACTTTAAAGAGTACATATATCCTTTAGGCTCAAGGCTTGAACAGGTGCTAACCATACTGAGACGTGTTAAAAACTGGAAATGCCCCTCCATGGCACAAATGTCATATATAATAACTCCAATCACAATCACCCATTCTCACATGTGTCACTTTATTATTCCAGAAAGAAGAAATACATTTGTGTAGCAAAACAGCACCTAGAGTGGGAGCTCTGGGAGATAATTATTCTGCCATTCTCTGACAGATATGAAAAGATAACACCTCTATACACCAGTGAAAGTCTCAAAGCTGAATTTAACAACTGTCTTAATGCCTAGTGCAGTGGAGCTGAAACTTTTTCATATATGTGTTAGACTAGAACATTTTCTCACGTATATTAAATTAGTTTTTTTCATTGATTCCAAGACCTTTTAACCTGAAAGGCCAGTGGGATAAAAAATAATAACTTTAATAGATTTTCAGAGCACTAGACCACCCAATCCTGAAGAAATGGCTGCATTTATGCTCAAAATTATTCTAACTAATGTTTTGCTTTTTCATGAAAGACGAAGAATATGAAAATGTGTGTTAACCTTTGCTTCCCAGGAACATACTGTGAACAGGTAGTAATAATAATCCATTCATTATTCTATGCCCTGGCTCATTTATTTTGTCCCCTGTTTCCAACTGACTTTTCGTTGCGCTCTTTAATATTCTGCATATAATGCAATGCCCAGGTTTCTGTGATAAATCCATCAGAGCCATCATTATTCGTTGCGTTATCTCACAGCTCCATGATGCATTTATTTTATTTGCCATCATTCATACCCTATGAACACAGACTTGCCTTGGATCTCATATTTTACATTCCACGCTGAATTACAGCAGTCATAAGAAGTGTGAAATTTCTTATTCGATGCGCATCTGCATTAAAGTGCCCTGCCAACCCCTTTTCTGTACACGTATTTATCTGCACTGCATAAGATTTCTCTTCTGTTGATTTTCCTTAGTCCTGAACTAATTTCCTAACCTGAATACTGTAATGTTATGCTGCGTGTTATATGTCAAAGCACATACATGCCCAGTTTTCTGCTAAAGAATCAGATAATGCTGACAGAGCCTGCTTTGAATTGGTATTTCAAAAATGGCAATGCATAGGCTTTTTGTATTTGTAATTTTCCCTATGATACTCCTGTGCTTAAAATTCTAACAAAAGTACTCTGCAATAGAAAACTCTTCATACTTACCTTTCTGGTGGGCTGCTAGGCTTTATTTCTCTGTTGAAGAGCTTAAGTGATTTTAAAGTCTAAAGGTTATTTTTACTTTAATGCATTCTCTGAATTAAGGTAAAAAACCTTGTACTGCGTGTTCCCCCATCCATAACACTTAACTGAGCCCTCTATCGATCTAGCACTGTGCCCGACTGCATCTCTTCTTCTCTCCCTCTTTTGCTGGTCTCAAAGGCTTTGCTGTGAACATTAGGAGCCTTTGGCTCCTGCTGCTGTCTGTGGACATACATAGCCTGGCTCAGAAGTGAGCCTACACTTATACATCATAGCAAGTGGGTTGCTATGGGGCAGACACAGAAGAGAAGGAGCCAAGATCACCAGCAGAGGACTCCAGAAGAGGAGGTAAGGAGAGGCTAGCGAGAAGGTAATTATAAACCTGTTTATTATTTTAATGTAAACAAATAGACTTTACAATCACTCTAATCCTCTAGCAGGATCTGCAACTCCCTCCAAATGCTGTGGTTCCTCCTGTTGGCACTACATCACTACAGGACATGGGTGGAGAAAGGAGTCATGGAACAAAGCGGGTACCAGATATCCAATACACCCTGAATTGTGTTGTATTTGAAGATTCTGTTGGGATCTGGTCCTACCAGAGAGATTTGTAAAAAAAACTTCTATTGCAGGGTGCTTTTATTTGACATTTTTTCAAGTGGTTGCTTTACTAAAGAAGTATAGAATGATCACTTAGCTTAGTGAATAAAGTAATGCAGCATTTACTTCAATTATCTTACGATATGTGAAACATCATTTTGTGTTCTTTTTAATTCCCCTGAACATGACTGGCGACTGAGTATTCAAATATAGATTCTCTTTATTTTTCACAGTTATATTGGTCAAGCTTGGACCAATATTAGTATTTATGTCCATACCTGTGGGATCCCCGTGGAAGCTGGAAATCACTATAGCAGGTATGGCTACTACAGTGATTGCTGCTTGCTTCTGGGTATCTGCAGTGTTGCTTGTTGTACACAAGAAATCATTCATTCAGCATGGGCACCATTCAGGGAACACATTTCTCAATGATCATAAAGTGTTCTTTTGAAGGTGGAGACCATGTTGTTATTTCCCTTCCTCTCCACCTTGTCCTGTTAGAGAATGCTTTGCATTCATTCAGAAAATGCAAAGTGTTCCATGAATGGCACCCATGTCAAGAAAATCCCTTTAAGGGACATCCCCCCACCCCTCTGCAAGCAAAGACAGTAGCATCTTACACTTAAAGGGATTACAAATCCTCACCTCGTAAAACAACCTATTCTGTTTAAAATAGAAATCAAAGGTAAAACATTTGTGTATAGATATAAAAATATTATATACACCTTTTACCCCTTTTCTTATAAGTGATCATATGCCCTCTGTTCTCAACTGCATAAGATCTAGGGGAGGAGAAACAACAGTACACTGATCTTCCCAGTGAAAGGCTGTGCGAGGGAAAGGAGGGGTTGCATGTCAGCAGGTGTCTGATCATTGGAAGAGAGCACACTGAATTCCCAGTATATCTAGAGAACTGACCATGCTGTGCGCCCATGCCTAGTCTGGTAAATGTTTAATTTCAAAGCAGAGGGACTGGCAGGAACACCAGGGATTTCACACAAAGGAAGCAACACAAATAGAACAGGATACTTTTCATATAAGTACATAGTACAGCAGGCACATATCAGGAATATGATATGTTGGGTTTACATATTCTTTAAGATGCAACAGAGAGGCCGCACGGCACTGGACCTGGAAGCTAGTGAAGATCACTGTAGTAGAGGTGTCTACTCCAATGATTTCCTGTTTCCATGGGGATGCCACAGGTATGGCACATACATGCATACATTGGTCTAAATATTGACATAACTAAACTTCAGCTTTAAAGTGTTAATAAACCCACAACAGTAAATCAGTCTGTATATGGATTAATCCTCTGCATTGTGTAAAAAGTCTGTTTGATCCTTTCTTCCCTGCCCCTCCTCTTGTTGAAATGACCACCTGATACAGACTGAACCCGTGGTCACATACACATGCTCATTTTGGTGTGTATTGCTAGAGAGGGGGGGGGTTCTTGGGAGGGTGCATGTGATCAGCACAGGGCCAGTCAGCACTGTCCAGACAGAGGGTCAGGGGTTTCAAATCCTCCTAGAGCAGAAAGAAAACTCATCTTACAAGCTTTAACCAGTGCTCTGCTGAAGTCACAAGACTGCTCCAACTGCTGATGAGATCAATCTGTATATGCAGTAAAGCATGCTTGTTATGCTCACTGTGGAATGTAAGGGGTTAGTCGTCCGCATTGTGTAAAAAGGATGTTGATCCTGTCTTCTCTGATCCTTCCCTTCTTCCATTGTCCCCAATATAACTCCTGATAGAACAGAGGTTTGGAGACTAGCTGCACATGCTTAGTTTGGTGTGTATTGTTAGAGAGCTTTTTTTCTTGGGAGAGTGCATGTGATCAGCACAGAGCCAATCAACACTGTCCAGACAGAGGGTTTGGGGTCCTGCAGCCTCATAGGGAAGAATGAAAATTCCTCCTAAAAGTTTAAACAGTGCTCTGCTGGATACTAATAGAAGTCACAAGACCGCTCTAACTGATGATGAGAAAAGGTATTTAGCAGTTTATATTTACTAAAATAATTGCATTTCCATGTTGTGTGTACTGTGGGAGGCCAGATATAGTGAATGCAGGGTCCTGGGTTTAGTAAAACTTTAAGCTAAGAGACCATTCTATTTCAAATTAACATTTACTTTACTTTTTCTGTTTTGTATTTACTACCCTTTTTCCAGTTTTTTCTTCCCTCTATACCAAATTTAGAACTTTTACCACTTGCAGCTTTACATTATTTTTAGATTTCTACAGAGCAATGAGAGGTCAGAACCTCTGGTAAGCACTGTCACTGGGACTGGCAGTTATAAATAAAAAAAATCTCCCAGATGTGACAGAGTTTGAAAAGGAACACCTGTCGGGGTTTCAAACAATTTCCTACTCTACAAGAAATGAAAAAAAAAAAGTTATGGCTTTAGATATACTTTAAGAAAGTCTAAAAAGCTGCAGTCTCATACAACGGATCCCCCCCGCTAGCAAAGACAGTAACATCTTACAACAAAAGAAACTTTAAGCGAATACTGTGGGTTATAGCCATGAATTTCTAAAACAGGAGGTGATTACAATAAACAGCAGTTTTGATTTTGCTATAGGTTACTGCACATTGCTGTGGCTCTGCACTACTGCCCTACTAAAAAAAAAGTCCATACTGTGGAATATGCACTTTCATATACAGATATGGAAAATGAGCTGACAACTGTTAGGGGTTTCTATTATATATTGAACTTTTTATCATCTATATGTAAATTTATTGCTGACTGTGCTATGTCTGTACAATAAATTTACATGTGACATTTAAACACTCTAGGGCACTTGTAAGTGTGCTTATTAACTCCTTGCTGTATATGACCGTATATGACCATGGTTTAAAAATCAGGTTACCCTGACACTGCATGCTTCTTCTTAATGGTCAGTTAGTGTTTGGGCACAGGTTAAATTAGGGATACTATGCTTATAGCTTCAGTGTTTTAGGGGTAGAGTGTTAGACAGAGGTTATGTGTTAAAACCCATTTCCAGATAAAACGTCAATTTTAGTTTTTTTTTTTAAAAAGTAGGTAAGAGTCAAAACGTCAATAAAATTTCTATAGCTGTTTATGTCTCTGTTGAAGAGATTTCTTCCTGCTATCTGTCCCAGTGACACCAGGGCAAGAAATGAGAGAGTTCACCAGTATATGAGGTATGGGAAAGCCATAAAAACCTGATAGATTTCCTAACATCTCTCTGCTCAACTAAACGAATGTGTTTTTACTGCCATTTCTGTTCCCGTCAAACAAATATCCCACCACTGGTTTGTTTTTTGATACTCTGTCATTAAGACAAGATTTTTATGATAGGGGTAGAGACAGCAATAAAAACCAGGCAGAGGTTTTAACCCTTCCACCATCCGTACAAACTAAAAAGAAAAACACAATTGTGGCTGAATTCGGGTTTTAATGGCACTCTTTAGGTGTTACAGTAAGGGTCAGGATTGGGACTTAAACTGTGTGCACAATTATTAGGCAAGTGAGTTTTTTGACCAAATTCTCCTTTTTATGCATATTGTCCAGCTTCAAGCTGTATAAACTTAAATGCTTATTGGATTTAAGCATATCAGATGATGTGTATTTGTGTAATGAGGGAGGGTGTGGTCCAAGGAGATCAACAACCTGTATCAAGGTGTGCATAATTATTAGGCAGCTTCTTTTCCTCAGGCAAAATGGGCCAAAAAAGAGATTTAAATGACTCTGAAAAGTCAGAAATTGTTAAAAGTCTGCTACATCCTTCTGAAACTCTTGAAATTTATTGCGAAGATATTGCAATTACTGTTATAATACCAGCCCATACTAGAACCCCAAATCCACCTTGCTGGCGTCTGAGTTGAAGTGGAGCTCTGTGCTCATTACTGATCCAGCCAGGGGCCCATCCATCTGGTCCGTCAAGAGTCACTTTCATCTCATCAGTCCATAAAACCTTTGAAAAAGCTGTCTTCAGATATTTCTTGGCCCAGTCTTGATGTTTCAACTTATGTGTCTTGTTCAGTAATGGTTGCATTTCAGTCTTCTTTACCATGGCCATGTCTCTGAGCATTGAACACCTTGTACTTCTGGCCAATCCAGGTAGGTTGCAGTTCTGGAATATGACAGCACTGGAGGATAGTGGGTTCCTGATAGCTTCAAGTGTGATTCTTCTCAAATCTTTGGCAATTAATTTGCATCCTTTTTTCTCAACACATTTCTTGCAAACCTGTTAACTATTTGCAACTAAACGCTTGATGGTTCTGTGATCACGCCCCAATATCTTAGCAATTTCAAGAGTGCTGCATCCCTTTGAAAGACTTTTTTGCAATTTTTTACTTTTCAGAGTCAGTTAAATCTCTTTTTTGGTACATTTTGTCTGAGAAAAAGAAGCTGCCTAATAATTATGCACACCTTGATATAGGATGTTGATTTCGTTAGGCCACACCAGCCCTCAGTACACAAATACACATTACCTGATATGCTTAAATCCAATAAGCATTCAATTTATATAGCACGTAGTTGGACAACATGTGCAAAAATTAGTATTTGGTAAAAAACCTAATTTGCCTAATAATTGTGCACACAGTGTAAAGCGGAACTTCACCTAAAATGTGAAGTTCTGCTTTTTCTCCTCCCAGCTCCTTACCACTTTAGGAGGGTTTTTTTCTGGGAGAGGGTACCTATTTCTGACAGAAAAGTGGAAGTTCAGCATTCTAGGACACTTTGCAACGTTCCAGGAGGCTGAGGAATCAATCCAAATGTGTAGTGGGGATCCAGCTGTGAAACAGCAGGAAGTCACAGCCAGCTTCCCACAAGCAAAATGGCAGCATTGTCGACTTGAAGACTGGCCAAGAACTAGCCCGGATGATGACAGCTATAGACTCCTGGACTAGTAAGTGTCTGTTTCTTAAAAGTCAGCAGTAGCAGTCAGTTAGTATTTGTAGCTGATGATATTTTTTTTTTTTTTTTTTTATAAAAGACTGTAGCTCCTCTTTAAGGTATTCAGAACTAATGTATCAGCATAGGCACATGCACATGACCAACAGCTTAAATGTGCATGGGATCCATGTGACATGTTCCCACTGCTGTGACCAGACAGCCCTCAAATAATGATTACTCTTAATGAATAATGAACTCCTACAAATATGTTTTCTAAATACAAGCCTGAGAATCTGCCCTAGGCCTGGGCGTTTTGTATCACGCATGTCAATATTCGCTTAAAAGGAGTAAAGTGCCATTGGCAAAGTAGGGAGTTTATCAATATCACTATTTATTAATACATCCTACCCTGATTAATGCTGCCGAAGCTAGCAGCAGTTATAAGAATCATGAATCATGTAATTTATGCCCTGTATTCCTGTAAAAGACATATGCACTGAATGAAACAATGCACACAGCACTGACTTAAATTATAATTGTAAATGAAATGAAATAGATGAATCATTTATTGTTATATGTATTCTGTGCACGTCACTGTATAAAATTGGGATTCGGGCCTGGTTGATAAATAAAACATACTATATGTCCACTGACGTGCACACGATCCATTCACTTCATCCACAGAGAGATAATCAGTTTAGTTTGCTAAGATTTCCGCCCATCTGACACATAACCACACACAGATTGACAGTTTCATTCCAGCTATATATTATCTATAAATAATTCTCGTTTTTACTAGAGCGTAATGGGACTGGTAAATGTTTACTATTAGAAGGCCATATATCTTCTAAAAGAAAACTGCTGCTTTCATTTAAAGATATACATGTACATGATGATAATAAATACATTTTGGCAATAAAGCCAAGAAAAGTTTGATTTCTTAAAGTGGAACTCTATACAAAAAATGTTTTTCATATATTTTCTAAACCATAGTTTTGGTTTGGATCATCTGTCAATGTATTTATGTCTGTTGCCCTCACTTCCTGTCCTAGTAACACCCAATGGAGTGCTGTCAGCTGAACTTTTTGCCTCCTTTCTCAGGAGTGCATTCTTCATATGTTTCATCTGAGAATCAAGAGATTCCCCCATCCATGCTGAACAAAATGGATGGATGAATCTACCGCTGCTGTACATTGTGTTCTGGCGTCTGTGGCTGTCAGTATGATTGGGGCTGATTGGCTAGAGTCACTGCTTGGCTAACATATATTAGCCTGGCTTATTCAATTTTCAAATTGAAGTTTGCCAAGCTGGGTGGTGTTGGCAGGTTACCCATGACTTGAATTTCAGCCGATTCACAAGCATTAGTCAAAAGTAGAGATGTGAATGGCCAGATTTAGATTGTAAGCTCAAATGGGCAAAATCCTTGTTCTCCTTCTGATTTCTAATCCTGGTTTGATGCTATGGAAGTAATTCACAGCCCCAGTAATTTAATCATATAACTTAAAGCTGAACTCTGGGCTGGACACAAGGTTACCCTTGCAGTAGTCCCACTATTACAAGGGTTTACTGCTCATTTTGTCCAGGGGTTGATAAATACCTTATGCCCCTGGCAGTCCATGCTCTTCTCTGCTGTCTGAGGCTTCTGGGATGTGGGAAAACCTTCAGCATTCTTACATACAATGCAGGATCACTGGTCTTGCATTGCAGGTGATGATGTCAGACTGCTGCAGTCGGTAGGGCAACAAAGAAAAGTGGCTTCAGTGGACCAGTCATGCAGTGCAGAAGAAGCATGTGGGAGCGAGGAGTAAGGTAAGTATATCCAATCCACCTAGCAAAAAAAAATCAATGCTTCATCTTTCTAATGCAGTTGAGGATTGATTCCAAGGGTAACTTTTCTTGGACCTCAGTTTAACGTATAGCACTGTATAATTTATACTACTACTAATACTAATTATTACTATTATTATTAATATACAGGATTTATATAGTGCCAATAGTTTGCGCAGCACTTAACATGAGGGCAGGCAGTACAATAACAATAAAATTCAATACAGGAGGTGTCAGAGGGCCCTGCTCATTAGAGCTTACAGTGAAACTAGGTTAAGCGCAACAAAGTTATATTCATAAAGTTAAAGTGTAACTTCACCCTAAAAGGGATGTTCCACTTTAACACCTATTTCCCTCCAATTCTCCCACTTTTGGAGGTTGTTTTTTTTTTTTGGGGGG